ATTACGGGTAAAATGGTCTTTTCACTCATAATTAGATGAAAAAGTGGGAAGTGAAAGGAAGCAAAATAATGTGAAGAAGATAATAAAAATGAGGGTATTTTAGTAATTGACTAAAGGACATAGATGAAATTTCATAGAAAGTGCAATGGCAAAATGGGAATACATGCTTATATTATTTGATATAAGGCTTCATTTGAAGAAACCCTAACATACCTTCAGCCCTTGTTCACGCCACCTTTACCCATTTTCTCTCAATTTTCTTCACTAAATTTCAAAGGAAAATCATAGGATTTAGCTTGGATTTTTGGAGATTTTCAATCCTAAAGCATCCTAAGGTAAGATTCTAGCAAAAGGAATGTGATTAAACTTTAAAGTTTTAAATTCTTATGGTTTTTATATGATCTAGGTCCAAGAGGAAGAGAGTTTTTAGCAAAAGGAAGTGATCTCACACATTCAAGGTAAGTAAACCTAATTTTAACCTTGATTTGAGCAAGACTTGTGTTGAATGAATTTTTGCGTGTTTGTATGTGATGGTATGAGAGAATTATTGGCTGTTTTTGATGTTTAATGATGCATAAATTCCAGCCATGAGAAGTAGAGTATGGTTATGTGATGATTTGGTGAAGTTGTGGAAGAATTTGTGTTGAAATTTTTGGAGTGTAGAGAAGTGATGAATTCGGCCAGGTTTGATACCAAAGTTAGTGAGTTTTTGGCTCACAATTTGGAGGAATTAGAGAGTTGTGGAAGTGTAGCCAACATGGTAGTTGCATGTGTATATGAAGTGTTTGATGAAAATCCAAAGAGAAAATGCATGCATGAGTTGGCTAAACCCTAATGAAGAAAGGGTTAGAGAAAGGCAAGAATTGAAGTAGGAAGATTATGTTTGGGCTTAACCAAGTGTAAATGTTAGTATTCAAGGATGCATATTGTTATGCCAAAATTTAGAATATTACTTGGTCATGTTAGTTTCATGAGAGAAATGGCCCTTAGTGTTTGGTTCTAGTTACTTGAACCTTTCCTACTTTTTGAATAGCACATGAAAGTGTTAGAAAGGAATTGCAAGTTAAAGTGTTATATTGATATGGCAATTGTGATAGTAGAGAATGGTAGAATATGTCATGACATACTATTATGCCATAATGAATTTGCAAGTTTGTATATGTGAATTTGGAAAGCATATTAAAGAATGGGCTTGATCATACATATATTGTGCACATGATATATATATGTATAGCCTTGATTTAGTAAATGAGAATATGAAAGAATATGTTAGCAAACAATGAGAAAGAAAGAAAAGAAAATGGCTTTCTTTTAAGCTAACATGCAACAATGTATATTTTCTCATTTACTAAAGAATGCAAGTGTAGAATTTCTATAGCTTGGAAATTCATGTTGACATGTGTATAGTATCTCTTTCTATTCTCTTTCTACAGCATGCTATGTTATAAGGTTTTTGCGATGGGGAACCCGTGAGTGATAGAGATGCCCACATACACACTGCTGATGCGTGTTTCCTACAACATGCAATATGTAGCAAGTATACTAGTCGCACAAGTAATAGAGTGATGAGTGAGTATCGTTCCCATGAGGATAGTGTTACTAAGTACTGATTTCCCTAGTTTAAGTCCTAATCGAAGAAACAATAAATTGGATTGATGGAAAATTAACAACTAAATACAAATTAACAAAATATAAATGAATGATAATGAAATTAAAGCAAAACCCAACAACTTAACTAATTAAACAATGCTAAACAAATAATGCTAGGGTGTTGATTTCACCTAGATACGCTAACCCAAATCATAGAATCTATTACCCAAGTTCTAATTCCTTGATTGAAAATTGAATTTTCTAAGTTGTAAAACATACCTTCTCAGGCTACATTTCCCTACTTATCCCTATCAAGCTTTCGCAACCAACAAAATGAAGATTAATAGTTTAAAGTCTTTTAAGCTTAATGGAATTCTATCTAGATTTCATAGATCACTAAACCTATCTCTAGCGTTTGCTAATCTACGGTATTTATCCCAAGAGGCACAATCACAAATCACTTCTCAGTCTCATTATGAACAACACACATTTGAATGGTGATCAAGCATCCAAAAGTCATTAAGCAAAGAGATAAACACTCAATCATGAAATTAAAACTCAAAGTAAATCAATTCATATAAATTTGAATCATTGTATCAAGATTACATCAAACCCTAGCTAAACAACTCAGTTCATACTCAAAAACGAAATAAAATAACAAAAACAAATTTTTTCAAATCTTCAATAATCTTCTCCTACCATGAGCTGCCTCCCAAATGAAGAACCAAGACCCTTTATCTTTCCTTTTCGCTCTAATTTATACCTCTTTCACTTAAGGACCAAGCCCTAGCGAGCCAAAACGCGTCGTTTAATTTTTACAGCTGATGCAGGTTTCGCTGCGGGGAAGCTTTTTCTTCCCCGCGGTGAGGACTTTCGAGCCCAATTTGAGCATGATAGAGTCTAAATCTGTAAAATTGTTAAACATATTAATTGTAGCCCTTTATATTAGCTTTCTGGTCGTTCAATAATCAGCACAATCCTAGGTCTACAGATCAAGTTATGGTAGAAATACGGAAGCACGTCCAAAGACGTTTTTCTTCAGTGCCCAGCGCACTTTTCAGGGCTTCAAGCCAAGTTTTCACCCTTGTCCAGTCAGAATTAGGAAAAACCCAAAACATGAAAGTTGTAGCTCTTCTTCTTAGCTTTCCAAAGCTTCTAAATTCAGGTCATTCCAAGTTTCCAAGTTCAAGTTACACAATTTACGCTGAAAACTGTCATTTATGCTAAAAATCATCGTTTAGGCCTGCAAAGACAAATTAATAGAATTAGGTAGCAATTATGGCCCAAATTGTATGAAAAGTATCCTAAATCCTATAAAATTCAATGCAAAATCATAGTGTAAAATATGATTATCAATATTTGATAATCCGTGGATTATACAGTTTTCATTAGACTTTTTAATCGGATTTCAGATACTTTTGACTTGAATTGTTGCTTAATTCTTTACATTTCGTGTTTCAGGTTAGAATGGACATTTTGAACAAATAAGAACAAAATTGGAAATTTTTGACTCAGAAGTTAGCGGATCTCAGAAGTTAGGAGAGTTCTGAAGCAGGATAAAGCACAATGAGGCTTGTTCCAAAGGGAGAGCACCAAGAATCGAAAAATCAAGCGAAGATGCAAGCAGAGTGACAGTTCTGTAATTTCATAACTTTTCAGGAAGCTTCGCCACGGCAAAGTGAGCTAGTCACGCACCAGATCTGTTTGGTTCTTCGCCACGGCGAAATTTCTTCTTCACTGCGGCGATGGTCGTAAATTCCAGTTTTGTGAAACTCACAGTTTTACTTTGTGCGTGTTTTTCTTAGGATTTTAGGGGAGGTATAAAAGAAACACTTAACCTTTTTGCCCGGGGTCATCTAGGAAGGAGGTTTAGCAGCTTTTACAATTTCTTTGATTAAGCTTGGAGAGATTTAGCGATTAGAAGGGTGAAGATTCGATTTTGAACCAAGGGATTCATCATTTGGGGAGATTTCTTGTCCTTTCTCTTACTTTTCATTATGTTGAACTTGAATATTGTCATTTTTCTTATTTTTAGTGTTGATTTAGCTATGAACTAACCCATTTTGGGTTAGGGTTTTGATTGTAATTCGGATTTTAATGGGTTAAGTGATTGATTGTTTTATGTTCATATGACTATGCTTTGATTGTGTGTTGCTCTGAGTTTTAATGCTTTATGTGATGAACATGATGAGATTGAGAAATGAATCATGTTAAGCTTCTTGGGTAATCACCATTATAGTAGTGGATGCTAGAGATAGATTCAAGAATTAATGAAATCATTGTAGGATTCTTATGCTTAATGAGTTTGGAATTGTTAACTTTCAAATTGTTGGGTGCGGAAAGTTAATAAGGAAGAATAGGAAACATAGCCTGAGAAGGTATGTTTAACACCTTAGTGAGTTCAATTTACAACTAATGCATATGAATGTGAATGTAGTTTAATTTTTAGGTTTAACCCATAAAGTCCGAATGAAGTCAAAACCCTACCCTTTTTAATTGAATTGATTTTATCCGTATTTTTTTTTTTTTGTTTATCTCGCATTTCATAGTTAAATTTTAGTCAGTTATTTCAGATTTTGTTTCTTTAATTAAACTTGCTCCCATTATCCAAAGAAGTCGATTGCTCCAACTTGAGAACAGTAGAGTACTTAGTGCTTAGCTAACAATCCTCGTGGGAACGATACTCACTCATCATTATATTACTTGTGCGATTAGTATACTTGCTACATATTGCATATTGTAGGAAACACGCATCAGGTTTTTGGCGCCGCTGCCGGGGATTTGTTTTAAGTTAACATTGAGTCTTTTTATAGTTAGCTAGATTGGAGTTTTTATTTTTGTTTTTATTTTCAGTTGGTTTGTGATCTCACTTTCCTTCATTTCTGTTTTTGTAGTTTATGCGAAGAACGAGACATCAACCAGTGGTTCTTGTTGATCCTGAGATTGAGAGAACCGTCAGACGACATAATAGAGAGAGAAGAGAAAGAGAGGATTCAGTTGTTGAAGCAGAAGAAATATTTGTTGAAATGGCAGAACCAGAAAACAGGACACTGAGGGAATTTTCAGTTCCCATAGTGAATGGTAGTGGGTCGAGCATTACTAGACCTACGGTGCAAGCCAACAACTTCGAGATCAAGCCGACAATCATCCAGATGATCTAGCAGTCGGTTAGATTTAATGGTGATTTGAAGGAAGATCCGAATCAGCATATTACAAATTTCTTGGAAATTTATGACACCTTCAAGTCGAACGGAGTGTCGGATGATGCTATTAGGTTGAGGTTATTCCCATTCTCATTGGGGGATAAAGCCAAGGGGTGGTTAATGGCACTACCACCGGGAACTATCACAACTTGGAATGATCTAGCACAGAAATTCCTTACTAAGTTTTTCCCTCCAGCTAAATCAACAAAACTTAGAAATGATATCACATCATTTTTACAAGATGAGTCCGAGTCATTGTTTGAGGCTTGGGAGAGAGTTAATGAGGAAATGAGGAAATGCCCACACCATGGTTTGCCAGTTTGGCTTCAAGTCCAAACATTCTACAATGGATTGATGGGTAATGTACAAACCATGGTGGATGCAGCTTCAGGAGGGGCCTTGCAGAATAAGACACCAAAAGAGGCCTATGAGTTGCTTGAGGTTTTGGCAAGCAACAACTATCAAAGACCAAATGAGAGAGCAACACCAAGGAAATTTTCGGGTTTTCATGAAGTTGATGCCTTTACAGCCATCTCAGCCCAACTCACAGCACTTCAGAAATAGTTGGGAACTATGCAGGTAAATTCTATTCAAGCACCTCAACTAACTTGTGACTTCTATGCAGGAAACCATGTGAGCAGCGAGTGTCAAGTTGGGAACACATTTGCTTCGTCATCTTCATCAACGGAGCAAGTGAATTACTTGGCAGGAAATCAGAGACAACCAAACAACCCGTACTCCAACACATACAACCTTGGGTTGAGAAATCATCCAAATCTGGCTTGGGGAAATCAGAACCAGCAAAATAATCAATGGAACCAGAGGACAGTTCCAAATAACCAACCAGGGGTGAATAATAAACCAGGAGATCCAAGAGTGACAAAGTTGGAAGATATGTTTGGGAAATTTATGCAGTAGACCACGGGATTCATGAATGAGATGAGGACGAATTTTAGAAATCAAGGGGCGTCCATTCGGAATCTTGAGATACAGATGGGCCAATTAGCCGAAAAGCTTAATGAGAGACCGCAGGGTTCCTTACCAAGCAATACAGTAACTAACCCACGTGAGCAAGCAAATGCCATAATGTTGAGAAGTGGGACAGTTTTGGAAGAGGTAGAGCAAGCTACCAAGGAGGTTGAGCAAACCGGAAAGGAAGATTCTGATGAGGAAGTTGATGAAGAGATAGTTGCTGAAGAGAAACCAAGTGGTTTGGAGGAAAAGAAAAAGGATGAAAGGCAAAGGAAGAAGGAGAAATTGCCATTCCCCGAGATACCACCAGAGTTGGCACATCACATCCCACCCGTGCTTTCTCCTCAGAGATTGAAGAAAAAGAATCAGGATAAGCAATTTTCAAAGTTTATTGAAATTTTTAAAAAATTGCACATTAACATTCCTTTCGCAGATGCATTGCAGCAGATGCCGAGTTATGCGAAGTTTCTTAAGGACATCTTATCGAACAAGAGGAAGTTAGAAGATGAGGAAACGGTGATGCTCACAGAGGAGTACAGTGCCATCCTCCAGAAGAAGTTACCCCCAAAGCTCAAAGATCCAGGGAGTTTTACTATTCCTTATATTATAGGAGATATTATGTTCGATCGTGTTTTGTGTGATCTAGGAGCTAGTATCAATTTGATGCCATTTTCTGTTTTCAGGAGATTGGGAATTGGTGAAGTGAAGCCAACGACCATGTCGTTGCAATTAGCGGATAGGTCAATAAAACACCCGAGGGGGATAGTAGAGGATGTGTTGGTGAAGGTGGGAAAGATAATTTTTCCAGCAGATTTTGTGGTGTTGGACATGGAAGAGGATAAGGAAATTGCTCTGATTTTGGGCCGACCATTCTTGGCCACGGGGAGAGCAATTATTGATGTACAGGAAGGAAAGTTACTATTGAGAGTTCAAGATGAAATAGTAACTTTCAATATCTTTGAGGCAATGAAGTTTCCGGGTGAAACGGATTCATGTTTTAGTGTAGATGTGGTGGACAAATTGGTTGAGGAATCTATGGAAGAAAACACCCCACAGTTACCTCTAGAAGCGTGTATAGCCAAATCAAAAATAGTAGAGGTAGAAGAGTCAGCGAGTAATGATTGTGCTAGGATGTTAGAAGCACTTCAACCGATTGATGGGAGTCAAGATGTAGAATTTGAGGAGTTTGATTTTGACAAAGAGAAGGAGAAGGAAAAAAATGAAGAAGCTCCAAAGCTAGAATTGAAACTTTTACCTTCCCACCTCAAATATGTTTATCTTGGAGACTTAGAAACTTTTCCGGTGATTATTAGTTCAGATTTGAGTACATTAGAGGAAGAGCGGTTGATTAGGGTGTTGAGGGAACATAGACTAGCAATTGGATGGACCATTTCGGACATTAGAGGTATCTCGCCATCATTTTGCATGCATAAGATACTCATGGAGGATTATTTTAAGCCTAGGGCGCAACCACAACGGAGATTGAATCCTTCGATGAAGGAAGTGGTTAGAAAAGAGGTGGTGAAACTCTTAGATGCGGGGATTATTTATCCTATTTCCGATAGCCCATGGGTGAGCCCGGTACAAGTGGTTCCGAAGAAGGGAGGTATCACGGTGGTAAGGAATGAGAGTAATAAGTTGATACCAACGAGGATGATGACAATGACGGGCTGGAAAGTATGCATTGATTACCGTAAATTGAATAAGGCGACAAGGAAGTATCATTTTCCACTACCTTTCATTGATTAGATGTTGGAGAGGTTGGCAGGACATGCTTATTACTGTTTCCTGGATGGGTATTCAGGATATAACCAGATTACCATCGCTCTTGAGGATCAAGAGAATATGACCTTCACTTGCCCCTACGGCACCTTTGCTTACCGAAGGATGCCTTTTGGGTTGTGCAATGCACTAGCAACATTTCAAAGATGCATGATATCAATATTTGGAGACATGGTGGAATGGTTTATAGAAGTCCTCATGGATGACTTCTCAGTTTTTGGTTCATCATTTGATAACTGTCTAACTAATCTTTCTTTTGTTTTGTAGCGATGTAAGGAGACGAACTGGGTGCTCAATTGGGAGAAGTGTTACTTCATTGTCCAAGAGGGAATAATGCTCAGGCATAGGATCTCCAAGGATGGAATAGAAGTTGATCGAGCAAAGACAGAAGTGATTGAGAAGTTGCCACCACCATCAAATGTCAAAGCAGTCCGAAGTTTCTTGGGGCATGCGGGGTTTTACAGACGCTTCATCAAGGATTTTTCTAAGATTTCTAAACCCTTTTGCAATTTGTTGAATAAAGATGTTGTTTTTGACTTTAATGATGATTGCATGCATGCCTTTCTAACTCTGAAAAGATTATTAGTATCTGCACCTATAATTGCAGTTTGCGATTGGGGACTACCCTTCGAATTGATGTGTGATGCTAGTGATTTTGCTTTAGGGGTAGTTTTAGGACAGAGGAAAAACAAAGTGTTGCATGTAATTCAGTATGCTAGCAAAACACTCGTTGATGCACAATTTAATTACACCACCACCGAAAAAGAATTGTTGGCTATAGTTTTTTCTTTTGACAAGTTTTGTTCTTACTTGTTAGGTGCAAAGGTGATCGTCTAAACAGACCATTCAGCACTCCGGCACCTATTGGCAAAGCAAGAAGCAAAACCTCAACTGATAAGATGGATTTTACTACTTCAGGAGTTCGATTTGGAAATTTGAGACAAGAAGGGGTCAGAAAATGTGGTGGCTGATCACTTGTCTAGAATTGAGAGACCAATCAAGGGAAATGAGGAGGAAATGCCAATTAGAGAAACATTTCCGGATGAGAAGTTGATGAGAGTAGAAGAAGCACCATGGTATGCGGATTTTGCAAACTATTTGTCATTAAGGGTGCTCCCAAGTGGTATGACGTACCAACAAAAGAGAAACTTTTTCTCAGATTTGAAGTACTACTTTTGGGAAGAACCATTTCTGTACAGACACTGTACTGATCAAATGATACGGAGATGTGTCCCGGAGGAGGAGATGGAAAACATTCTACGGCATTGTCACGAGAAGGAAGTAGGTGGCCATTTTGGGGGAGCTAGGATAGCAGTCAAGGTTTTACAATCAGGGTTTAATTGGCCAACCCTCTTTAAGGATTCCTTCCGAATGATTCAAGAGTGTGACCAATGTCAACGGATGGGTAATATTTCAAAAAGAGATGAGATGTCGTTGAACAACATCCTAGTGGTTGAACTTTTTGATATGTGGGGGATTGATTTCATGGGTCCCTTCCCAAGTTCTTTTGGGAACACATATATTTTAGTAGCTGTGGATTACGTGTCAAAGTGGGTTGAGGCAGTTGCATTGCCGACTAATGATGCTAGGGTAGTGATTAAGTTTGTGAGAGAATATTTTCTCAAGGTTTGGGGTACAACAATCATTAGTGATGAAGGATCTCATTTTTGCAATGGGCAAATGGATGCACTGTTGAGTAAGTATGGAGTGACACATAGAGTTGCAACACCTTACCATCTGCAAATGAGCGGCCAAGTGGAACTGTCGAATAGAGAACTAAAGGGGATTTTAGAAAAGACAGTTAATGCATCTAGGAAAGATTGGTCACGGAAGCTGGATGATGTGTTGTGGGCATACCGAACCGCTTTTAAGACTCCGATTGGGATGTCTCCATTTAGGATGGTTTATGGGAAAGCATGCCACTTGCCGGTAGAACTCGAGCATAAAGCATATTGGGCTGTCAAGCAGCTAAACATGGACTTGAAAGCTGCTGGAGAAGAAAAGATATTGACTTTGAACGAACTCGATGAGTTTCGTCTCGATGCATATGAGAATGCTCGGATTTACAAGGAGAAGACAAAAAAGTGGCATGACAAGCATATCCAGAAGAAGGATTTTGAAGTAGGGTAGAAGGTGTTGTTGTTCAATTCTAGACTTAGGCTTTTCCCCAGAAAACTTAAGTCTAAATGGTCCGGACCGTTCACAGTGACAAAAGTTCACCCATACGGAGCGGTGGAAGTGTCACATGAAGAAAAGGGCACCTTTACAGTAAATGGACAAAGATTAAAGCCCTACATAGCTGGGATGATGAGTTGCAAATCCATCCCAATCCAGCTTGACATCCCAACTTGAAGGATTTAGAGAGTCGAGCTATCGACTATAAACAAGCGCTTCTTGGGAGGCAACCCAAGCGTTTTTAATTGTTTGTTTTCCATTTTGGTTGTTTGAATTTGTTTGAATTCATTATGAGTTTGTATGGTTTTTAATGTGTGTGTTTTTGGGTGTTTCAGGTGAAGTTTTAAGCAAAAGAAAGGAATTAAAATGCTCCAGACTTCGCCGG